ATCATGGACAAAATAAAAGTAGAGAATATAAATCAATTCTCCCGCCTCCCGCCTCCCGCCTCCCGCCTCCCGCCCCCCCGCCTCCCGCCTCCCGCCTCCCGCCTCCCGCCTCCCGCCTCCCGCCTCCCGCCTCCCGCCTCCCGCCTCCCGCCTCCCGCCTCCCGCCTCCCGCCCCCGCCTCCTGTCCCCACCTCATGTCTCCCATCTTCTCTCTCCCCCCATCTCCTGCCTCCTGTCTCCCATCTCCTCCCATCTCCCATCTTTCATTGTCTTTTCTCCATTTTCATTTTTTTCATTTCACAAATTTCTGTCTTTCATGCCCCAATCTCTCTTTTCTTGCAGATGAGCATTAGTGGGTCTCAAAGTTAAATTTATGAACTGTTAGAAACATCCAACAAAAAGAAACTTCTAAAGGTATTCAAGCTCTGCCAGAATATGATCTTAAGTATCAGTTCTATTACAAGTGATCATGATAATAAACATCATGCCTTGCACATCAGCCCGACAACAGATCTTGCAAGCACTGCATGCTAAGCAGTTCAATCTCCAATATGCTCACTACTTTGAACTCATCAAACCGCCATGGAAGAACTCAAAGACTCAGATGATAGTGATGATTCTGATTCTGATTCTGATCAGATGTCCATATCATCAGATTCCTCACTTAGCAAGTTGATTTTCTCCTTTGCAACATCCATGGATGCAACAGAGATACTGACAAGCTCATGTCCCTTTATTGAATTCAGTAACATGGTGTGACAATCATATTCCCACTAGGCTTGCAATGGCCATCTTTTGATATAGGTGATGGAAAGCTACAAAACCATCGACCACTTTTCCTGCACTCAACCTGCTCTGGATGCATATTCACATGCTCTGCGGACCCACGCATTCACTCCATGCTGTGTGCATACCTGCAGTCGATTTCCCACACCTTCGGACTACCTTACAGGTGTCCTGCGTCAGTCCATTGTCCATCCTACCTCATTGGTATGTATTTGCCTTGCCTCGTGTGTTGTAACAAGTGTTGCAGCCTTATTACATGTCTTTACATATTCCTACTGCCTGTCTGTCCTGTCCCTTCCATTTCCAAGAGGGTTTAGCTAGTATAAAGTGCCTATAGTGACTACTTCGTATTTACTTCCCTTCTACAGTATTTCCTTCCCTTAGGTTTTACTTAGGAGCAGTCACCATTAGTGCACACTTTTAGCTCCTATTGGGTTACCTTATACCTGAACACCTTGTCTTGACTTTCCTTACCTGTGCAATCAATACCCTTGCCCTCACTTGTTACCCACACCATTCCTTAAGACTTTCCTACCCCTTACCCTAGCATCTCGCACTTCCACATCAACCGCTCATCAACTGCTCATCAACCACACTTCTGCATTCCCGCACTCTACATACCTGCACACTTGTTCCCTCACTCTGCAGCACTTTCAGGTCTTTAGTATCATCAGCCGTTCTCAGTAGCAATTCCCTTTATGGTCAAATGTTCTTGCTTGCAAGTGTAGCAGCTAGGCAGAGCATCGACCTACAACAATATTTTTGATTAGGCACTTTAACAAGTGTCTAGCCATTGTTGTGTTTGCACAACGGTTCAAGCCTTAGCTGATGAAGTGGAAAAGTCTCGGGTCCTCTTCACACATCCAAAATCCAGCCATGCCCTGCAGCTACATCTCCTTGAGGAGTGGGTGCTAGATAAACCTGAGAAGTTCCATTGTAAACTTCATGTCAATCCCCCTGTCTTCATGGAGATTGTCAATAAAATCATCAATCATCCTATATTCTATAACAACTCACAAAACTCTCAGTTACCAGTCCCTGTACAGCTTGCTATATTCTTGAATAGCGCTGGCCACTATGGAAATGCTGCAACAACAGAAGATATTGCAGATTGGGCTGGTGTCTCAGTCGGGACGGTATACAATTGTCACCATCATGTCATGGTTGCTCTCCTTCAGCACCATCATGATGTGATCCATTTTGATCCACTTGATCACAATGATCAAAACAAGTGAGAGCAAGCAAAGGACTGGGTTGAAGAACAAACCTCTCCAGAGTGGAGGGGTGGATTTCTTAGTATCAGCAGCACACCATTCAATCTGTTTCAGAAGCCTGGGTGGCATAGCAAGGGATTTTATGACTGTAAATTAAATTATTCGCTGTCAGCCCAGGTGCATCATGAGTTAGAACAGAGAAAACCAAACTAACATTTTCAGAAGATCGTAATTATGCCCACAACCTGCACATCGTCCATTATGTGATTGGAGTCCCCAGGAGTGTGCATGACTGAAACACATTTGCAAAAGCTCGAATTACACACCATCCACAAACATTTTTTGGGGGAAATGAGTGGATCTGGGCAGATTCAGCCTATGGTGCTTGCCTGTGGTGTGTTGTACCTTTTAAGCGACCAGCAGCTGGTGGATTGATGTGTGGTCAAAAAACATTTAATTATCACCTGTCAAAGGTAGTATGAACTGTTCTAAGTCAAAACTGTCAACTTGACATCTGCAGGTCCTTGTTTGCTCCAAGCATTGCTATGGTTCTTTGAAAGGCCGATTTAAATCCCTTCATGAACTTCAAGTTCAAATACAGGTGCAAAAAGACCTTGATGAGGTGAACTTGTGGACACATTGCTGCTTTATCCTCCATAACATGATTGTCGACATCAAGGAACAGCTTGGCAGTACTGATACATTTGATCTTTTTGCCCAGGAAGCAAGGCAGTGGGGTCATGGAATGCAGGACAGTGAAGAGGGAGATGGGGACAATGCTGAACAAGAAGGAGCTGGGGATGAAGGTTTTATCAGATCTGAAGGACAGATTTTTTGAAACATGCTGATGGGCCAGTTATTGTGATATCAACAGTGACAGGTAGTAGATACATACTTTAGTAAATTTACCAAGGACCTAGAATGAGTGATGTGAGGAAAGTGCAGTGGATGCAAGGACCCAGAATGAGTGATGTGAGGAAAGTGCAGTCAAACTCAAGGAAAATACAGTGGCCAGAGTGACTTCAACTAACACATTGAATTATTCTAGCATACATCACAATGTTTGAACCTACAATAATGAAAAACAAGCCTAGAATGCAGTAAGGAATTTGTGAGCTAAAATGGTAATAGTGAGGGAAGAGAAGCAAAAGCAGAACAAACATTGAACAGTTACTTGCAAACTTCAGTACTGGGATCCTGATGAGCCAAATTCCTTTCCATAATCAAGCATTCCAACCTCACTTGCTCAAGCTTGATCTCCAATTCCAGCTGCTTCATCCATTCATCTGCCATTGCATGCTCATGGTTTTGAATGGCCATTGTGCTCTGGAGTCCATGTTCACGCTCAGCATGAGATTTGCACATCTTCAACTCTCTGCTTGCCAATTGGGTCTCTAGCTTGAGGTGTTTGTGATTGGCCTTGACTGTGGATGCCTCATGTATGTGCTGAACGAGTGAATCTGATGCCTGATTCATCTTCATAGTGAGCTCAGCTAATATTCTAAGCCAGGGAGTATGGGGCGGACTACTGTCCCAGCCTGTCCCAATGTGTCCCCACCTGTCCTGATGTGTCCCTACTTGTCCCAGCCTGTCTCAATGTGTCCCCACTTGTCCTGATGTGTCCCTACTTGTCCCAGCCTGTCTCAATGTGTCCCCACTTGTCCTGATGTGTCCCTACTTGTCCCAGCCTGTCTCAATGTGTCCCCACTTGTCCTGATGTGTCCCTACTTGTCCCAGCCTGTCCCAATGTGTCCCCACTTGTCCTGATGTGTCCCAATGTGTCCTGATGTGTCCCTACTTGTCCTAATATGTCCCTACTTGTTCTAATGTGTTCTGATGTGTCCCTTCATGTCCTGATGTGTATGTCCTGATTTGTCCCTACTTGTCCCAATATGTCCTACCTTGTCCTGACTTGTCCCTACTTGTCCCAATATGTCCTGATATGTCCTGACTGGTCCCTACTTGCTCTAATATGTCCTGCCTTGTCCTGACTTGTCCCTACTTGTCCCTACTTGTCCCTATGTGTCCTGATGTACCCCAACTATTTACTCTTGTCCTAACTATGTCCTTGCTTGTGTTGATATGTCCCGACTTGTCCTGATATGTCCTCACAGCAACTTAGGGTAGTCATTATGGCCATTATGACTGTTATGACAATTATAAAACTTTTCATGCAATTCTTTAAGACTAGGTATCCTGATGAAGGTGTATGTGATCCTTACTATTACAATCCTAAGCCAAAGAAGCAAAAATGCTAGCAACAATACAAACATCTCACCAAGTCTTTCTTCAAAAGTGTTCATGATTTTTAGGTCAGTTACTTATATCTCGCTAAGGTCTTATCCTAATGGTGTCAGGAGACTATGGATAGACTCTCCTTGACAAGGACTGCGACTTTGGATTTCATGAACAAATTCCCACATTTGAAGTCATAGCTAATCAGCAAAACACAAAAATTCTTTAAGTCCATGATATGGTCTTACTTGACATTGCTTATATAAGCAACATTGTGGTCAACCACAAGTGTTTTTCCTATGTTTTCCTTGCTCTCTTTTCTATTCAAGTGGATTTACCTTTCAGTCTCTGCCTTCTAATGTGTCTCAATGTATCTAAGTGTATTTCTCTATTTCTCAAGTGACCCTCTCTAACATATTCTCTTCTCTTTAGGTCTTTTCCTTCCTTCCTATTTGCCTACTTTGACTCTATCTTCCTGAGTCCCTCTCTCTCCAACAAGGTTTCCCTTAAATTTTCGCATTTTTGCTTATTCTGGTTCTTGGTAAGTTTTCTTTCTGTCTTCTACACCCTTCTCTGATCCTCTCTCTTCACTCTAGCTCACCAGCTCACCATCTCTCTTCACCCTGGCTCACCATCTCACCCTCTCTTCATCTATCTCTTTAGCCTGGCTCTCACCTTCTCCTTTGATGTCACATTTTACCTATTGATAAGTCTCTTTGTCTCTTTCAACAGTCTTCCTTCTCCTCTTCTCCCTTCAATTTTCATGTTTTGCCTATTCATACTATCATAATTCATGAAGGATCCATCTTTTATACACTGGGAAGTGACTAAGAGTAACATTCACTATATGAAAGAATTAAAGGGTTTACATCTTACCTTAGACAGACAGATGAAGAGCTAGAACCATTTGTAGACACAGATTGGGCAAGTCAACTGCATAGTGTTACAACCATGTATGCCCCTATTCATTTTCTCTCTTACTGTGTATTACATCATGAGCCACATGATGCCACCACTAGACTTATCATTGACTCATACCTTGTATTACATCACGACTGCCATTGCCATCATTAGATGACCTATTCTTGCTATCACTTACACGTCCTTTATCTCTGACTCATATCTGTTCTCACATCTGCCCTAAAGCACTTGTAGTTCCCTATAAATAGTTCTCTTGTATGCTTTAGTTCTGCACTTTAATCTTACTAGGTTTTACCTGAAACATCCTTCACTTGAGACCTCCAATCTCTTGTCATCTGAACCGTACTTTAAGATAGAAGCACTCCTTCTGTCTTAGCTTACACTGAACGCTTGACTTATTGTCTTATGTAGAATCTCAGCAGAGGTCTTAACTCTTATCAAGTTGTCTGTCATTAGAACTATCCTAGTTTGTAACACATAGATATTCAATGTCTGGATATGTGGTAATGTTACATGACTCACCAATCACATGGAGCACCAGGAAACAGCTTACAATTGCATGACTAAAGCAGAGTATATTACACCTACCTCTGTGGCATGCAACATCTTCTACTTTAAGTCACTACTCAGTGAGCTACACAAACTAACAAGAGAACTGATCCTCACCTACTGTGACAACTGAAGTACAATAATGGGTTTCAAAGTATGTGGTGTGCATATGTTGGAACTTCACAAAAACAAGAACATGTATTGATATTCAAGCTCCACGTAAAACACACATGTTACTGATCAATCCTATCATGGAAAGTATCCAGTATTGTGGAATAGATAATTGATAAGCCTGTACTATTCTATTCTCTACCATCCCTCCTGATGCACATCTCAGAGTGTAAAATGGTACTAGAGGCCCTTCATGAAACAAACAGGAATCTGAAGCTTGCTTGGTACCTCAAGCTAGTAAACATGTTAATAGATGATGACTCATCTGACCCTGAGCCATCTGATGAGTCTAGCTCAGTTGGACTCCAACTCAGTCTTAGACTTGGGCTCTATTGATTCTGATCTATCATCAAATATCAGCATGGATTCCATAAGTTCTTTTGATACCTGGATGTCCTTGTGTTTGTAGAACTCATCAATAAAATTATCCATCATCTGGTTTTTACAACAATTCTTATAATCCACAACTACCTGTCACCATTCAGCTGGCAATATTTTTGAATGCTGCTGGCCACTACAGAAATGCAGCAACCACAGAACACATGGCTGACTGGGCAGGGGTTTTGGTCAGAACAGTATATAACTGCTATTGGCATGTTATGGTTGTGATTCTGCAGCACCATGATGATGTCATCCACTTCAACCCACTGGAGGCCAAAGATCAGATTGAGATAGATTGAGTGAAGGACTGGGTTGAGGAATGTGCATGTCAAGAGTGGCATGATGGATTTTTGCATGTTGATGGTACACCATTCAATGTGTACCGATGAAAAAAGGTCAAACACAATGCTGGTGAGAAATGGCTCGCATGAGCACTTCAGGCACATCGAAGTAATGTTGATCACATTGGTCCAGTACTGTTACTGCCTTTGCAAGCTTCATTAGCACTTCAACTTGGTTTGATCAAGTAAACAACTGGACAAAATACATGACTAGTATTGGCTACTGTCATCTACTAGCTAACATCTATTGCTGTTGAAGACATTAACTGTATGCACATCCAATGCTTGCTCCCAAAAATGCCTCCTACTGTGA